CAAGCCGTGAAGTGCAGACAGCAGTACGCGCATCGTGGAAACGTATAATATTCCCATGATGGCCGAAAACTTGAAGCGGGGCGGAATCCAACCCCCCCCCCCCGCCCGGCTGAGAGATGGTAAAAATAACCTGGCCCTTATAGGGTTCAAGGCAAGAACTTTTATAGCTACCAATCAAACGGTTTAAATATGTTATAAAAATAAGTGACAATTGATGTCAAATGTGGATTTTCTTCATTTTGAACCACCCCGTATATCCCTATTGGTCATAAATACTACGTGTTGCGGCAAAGTTAACGATCGGGGAGGTTTGCAATGACATCAGTGGTGATCCTGCATTCCTTCAAAAGCTTTCGGCCGCCACACGCACCTTCCGCCACCGTCTTCAGCGCTGTATCGACATTGGGTGACGCCAAGTCGAAAGTGGCACATTCTGAAAGTGAGTATTATATTCGTATTGCGTCTAAATCTCATCCTTTTGCACAAAGTCGCTCCATGAAGTTTGTTATGCCTTGTAAACATAACCTCAATTTTGTGTTTAATACCATTGGTAAACTACGTAAGTCAGTGGCGCAAATCTAGGGATGACTAAAATCAAAAAAATTGCTCGGCCTTGGAAATTCAAAGGGGGGATGCTGGATATCACATGACACTAGTGGGCGCTGGTCATTATACCGATGTACACCTTATACATGTATATACTTACGACCCTTAATCTTACATCAAAGCTGAATACATTTTTGCTGTTGGGAAGTAAAACAAATACCTCGAAATCCGTCTTTTTCGTTTCTCACCACGAAAAAGTGGGAGGATGATCCAACAGCCCATCTCCCCTGGTCAAAAAATGTGTGTGGCTGGGCATTACATTCATTGCGTGGACTTCCGAACAAAACAGGTCCACATAAACCAGGTAGAGGCGGCGTTGTGTGGACTTGGGCAAGTCAACACAGTGTTTCCCCATTTCTGGCATTTAGAGGCATTTTGGGGTTAGGTTTATCCGTGTCAAAATGAAGAGAAACACTATCGTAGAAAAAAAATGGATTGAAAGAGTTTTCACAGTGAGAGTAAAATATTTTTTTTCAGAGGTTTTTCTTAACTACACAAAACCAAGGGAATGTCCACAATTGGTATGTAACGCAAATGCGTGTGTATGTGGGGGGGGGGGGAGGATTTATACCCCACCCCCCGAATTTACGTCCCTGAACAGAGTTACTGATGATCAAAAGTAGGACATTTTTTGTGCATGTGCTGGATATTGCTGGTTGCGTCCCGGATGAAAAATGGGAGAAAAAAATATATAAGTTTGAGTGGCCATATCATGTCATCCTAGCCCTAGGGATCGCTGCCCACGTAGATTAGTAAAATTGAATGAACGGAAGCCAACTGATTGAGGCTTTTCCACAAATTACACGTCTCATCCAAATGGTAAATTAATCATTATTAGGTGTATAAGGTATCACAGTATTCATGGAGATCACGTCATATAGACAGTTATACAGCGCACACTGTCCAAGAGCGATAAAAGAGAACGCACCTGTAGTGTTGCAGCAGTCGATGCCGTTATGTCATTACGTCAGGTTCACGTTTTGGACTCCTTTTGTTTTTGGATCCAGCTCATTCGGACCTGAGCTCGTTTGTACTTGAGCACGCCTGGACTTTCGCTAGTTTACACCCGAGGATAATAGGACTACTACTCGTCCGGACCAGATGTTATCAGGAGATCGCCTTTTGGGACAACTGAGACTCTGAGGAGGCTTTGGTCATCCCTACTGCGCACTTTATTTTCGGACTTGAGCTCGTTTGTACTTGAACGCGCCTGGACTTTCTCTAGTTTAAAACGGAGGATATTCGGACTACTACTCGTCCGGACCGGATGCTATTTGGAGATCGCCTTTTGGAACAACTAAGATTCTGAGGAGGCCTTGGTCATCCCTACTGCGCACTTTACTTTCGGACTTGAGCTCGTTTGTACTTGAACGCGCCTGGACTTTCTCTAGTTTAAAACAGAGGATATTCGGACTACTACTCGTCCGGACCGGATGCTATTTGGAGATCACCTTTTGGGACAACTGAGATTCTGAGGAGGCCTTGGTCATCCCACTGCGCACTTTACTTTCGGACTTCAGCTCGTTTGTACTTCAGCGCGCCTGGACTTAAGCTAGTCTTAACTCGAGGATATTCGGACTACTACTCGTCCGTACCGGAGGTTGTTTGGAGATCGCCTTTTGGGGACAACTGAGATTCTGAGGAGGCCTTGGTCATCCCAGTGCGCACTGCATTTTGCAAGGTACGTTTTATACATTTAATACTCATTCAAAGTGATATTTTATTGCAGGTTTTCAAGTAGCCAATCGACTGAGTATGACCAGTTTGGCTATATAGGTGCACTGTCTGTGCTCTTCAACACAAAGTGAGAAAGTCACTTTTTTATTTATATTTCCAAGACACAAACTACAATCTTCTTGAAAAAAGGTTTTTATTTTGATTTCTTCGAGCCCAATGTAATTTGAATTTATGGAGTAATTAAACTCTTAAAGTGGCCGATGTATCCAATCGATAACTTTTGTGTTGTAGCAATTTCAATGAAGAATGAATGCATTTCAATGACAGATAAACATGACGATTGGCGAAGCTTAATTGCGTCGTCGAGTTGACCCCGAGAGCCTTAGTTAAGGAATCACTTTCGAAACAAAACTACAAACTTCTATCCAATAGGTTCAGAAAAATGAGTTGTCCGGTCAATGCACGCACGGTCGCTTTGGTTTGGACTGTTTTTTTTTTTGCAAAAGTGCGTTAGACACCTTGAATGTGTTGGAGCAAAAAATGGTACATCACAATTGTTTTCATAAATAAAAAAATCATTTCCGACCAAAGAATTAACACGAGCATTATTCCTTGCCAATATACATATGTTAACTCCAAGCATATTTTAGGTTAAGCATCGGAATAAATCTTCTTTTGCAAAGTAGGGATGACGTCAAAACCTCTTTTGAATACACTTTGGAGATGGGTTATAGCTTTTTTTCAAAGAAAATTAAAATTTGTCTGAAACAAAGACAAGCATATCGGGGTACATTTTCGTGCACTAACGCTACTCCCATTCAGCATGAAGTGCGTATAGCAACGAGTCAATTTAGGCCTACACGGTGAGTAAAAAAGAGGAAAAGAAACCCAATTGGTGCCCAAAAGGGTGTTTGAGTTCAAAATTCCATAACTGCAAAGTGCATGAGCGACATGAATGATTCTTTCACTAAAAGAAAGCTTATTAATTTGGCTTTCATATATATCGTAGATCTGGCAAGTGCTACATGCAGAACTTCTTTTAAACATATGGGGCACCATTTGGGTTTTCTTTTTTACTCACCCTGTATGTAGACAGCTCACCACTGCACTCGGCATTTTTTAAATTGTTGATAATCAGTTTGTTCTCAGGCATCCATGACAGTAAGGATGCAAGGCGGATAGCAATGGAAACGTTTGTAAAACATCCTATTCAGATGAAAGCATGCTGGCAGAACTTATCTTTACATCTTTGCAAAACCAACCAATTATTTTTGGATTCCCTTTGGATTTTACTTGTTATATTTTCTTTTTACATTTAATTCTGACAGAGGTGTACAAAATGTAGCAATTGCTCTACGAATCTCTGAAATACGGCCTTTTTTTCACCTGGAATAGCCTTTAGGTGCCGGCTGGACTCAATTTCATACAGGCCTATAGTCTAGAAACTAATTTTTGGATTTTTTAAAGACCAAAATGGAGTTAAAATGAAGACAAGGTGGTTAGGGTCTGGAAAAAAACTACCTATTTTCCATTCGAATCTTTTTAGGGGGCTGCAAATGACCAAATGCCCGGTTAAGTTTATTTTTCCATTTTTTTAAATCAGGTTATACTCTTCTCTCTTTTTTTTTGGGGGGGGGGGTTTCTGTTCAGACAGCCTTTTAGTTAAAACGGTAAAGGTTCGGAGGTCGCTCACCACTGGTGGCCGGTCGGATAGTGCACTTCGAACCAATATAAACATTTAAAAAATGCTTTCGTCCCGTGCGCACGAGGTCGAAGGAAATCAGCACGGCTCCTTTCCATACGAGTGCCAAAATAACCATGTGCCTCGGGTACCATCCACCAAATTTCGGATCGAATCTCGGAGCTGAATCGCGCCTGGCTTTACCGTGGCTGACTCCCGGGCTACGCCGGTGTCATATGAAAATCCGACTCCTATGAAAATCGGACTCCTTTTCCCTATTATTGGTTAATTCCTCACACGTGACAGGCCTCTATCTTATATGTATTCCTAAAAATAGTATATCATCGTACTTACGCATGCGCAATACTACCAATGAGTCCATAATTCATGGAGTCGGATTTCACACTACACCATCGTGCAACGGACGGTCGCGGCCGGGGATTGTGCGTACTGGGCCCGGGCCGCCCGAGGCGAGAATCACGCTGGGCGCTATATATATATCGGTCAGCGGCAAATACTACATTACCGTCAAGCACTACTTAAACTTTCGAAGATAACGACAGCAATATTAACATGCTCGATATTGTAGCGTAGAACAATTCTGGGGTTCCTCACACGCACTCAAACGGAACTCCAACACAGGTATACTCGTTTCTGCTGGTTCTAGGCTGTTTATTCCTCACAAAAACGTAAACCGCAAAACACAACTATTCTCTTCAGCAACGAGGCAACAACAATACTACTGCGCATGCGCCGCCCGGAAGAACGGGCCTCCCCGGCCGGCCACCAGGGGCTCCACTGCGCGGCTCCACCGTGGAACCGCGCTGGTGCCCTCTGGCGGCCGACCGGCACGGACGCCACACCGCCCCCTTCGAGGACCTTGTTTGTCCCCAAACAGGGCGCCGGCATCCGCAACCGGACAACCAGGAAGACCCGGCCCGGAGGCGCATGACACAACAAAATTACTACAGCATTCAAAAAAAAAAAAAAAAAAAATGAAAGGAAAGAACAAGAAATCAAAGAACAAGTCTAAGGTTTAGTTGGTGGATGGCGGCCGGCGCTGGAACTCCGTATGTCGGAACAGCTGCTCCCAGAACTCTCGGGGGACGCCATCGGGGTAGCGCGGGGGCGGAGGCGCTCCAGGGGGCAGCATTCCTCCCAGAGAAGGTTGAGCGGACACGGAGGGATCTACGAAGTGCTGGCCGTACTGCTGTCCCTGGTACGTCTGCAGGAGGAGACGCCCAGGCACTTCATAGGTGTGAACCACCCGTGTCCGCATCAGCCGGTGGCCGACCTCGTTTGCTCCATGGACTGTCCTTTCGAGCCGCCATTCGTCCCGCGCATGCTCGCACAGGGGTTCCAGCATGTGCGTGGCGGCCTCCCTGGTGGTGTTGTCCGGGTGGAGGGCGCCGGCCGTCTCCAGTCGCAGCGAGGTCCCGTCCGAACCTCAGGGGACATCGGGGGTTCCGTCTGCGTTCCGCCCTCCGCCCGTGTCGGCTGGGGGTGACCAGGGCTTGCTTCCGCTGCCCTGCTGAAGCGAGGACGCCTGCCCTGGGCACGGCTCCAGGGGAACCGCCGGTCGGGACTCCACCAGGGTGGTGGCTGGCAGGGTCGCTCGGCCCGGTCCCGGCTCCGCCAACCAGGTGACCTGTCCTGTTCAGGGCGGGAAGGCCGGGAGGACCGCTCCGGGTGGTCGCGGCCCCCCGGCCCCCTGACGACTCTGGACTTACCCGTCTTCTTAGTGGCGGCGGCGACGGTGACCGTCCTGCCGGACCACACCGTCCGAATGGAGGTGGGTCTGGGGTCCCCTGCCGGGAGAGATGAGGCGGGGACGGGGCCTGTCTCATGTCGTCGTCACTGGCGTGCACCTCCAGCACATCGGCCTCCGCCATCACCACGGCCACGCTGTCCCCTTGGCAGAACCGGTGGTGTCTGGCGCGGACATCGGCCCTAAAAAACCGAACTCCGCATCCTCTCTGGCAGGGGTATGGGCGCTCCGGGTGGAGCGCCACACACGCGGTGTTTAGGTGCCTCTTTAAGTTCCTCCTCCTCCCGAACGTCTGGTCACAGTGCGGGCAATGAATCGGGGCCGGGTCCATCCTGCAGGGGGAAGAAAAAGAAGAGCATTTGGTTATTTGTTGGCAATAACGGCTTGGTCGGATTATCTTCCGGCCACCCCGGGTGACTCTCCAAGGAGCCGGCGCCATTGGTGGTGAAGAGGGCTGTCCCCCTTCGGGCTCGGCCAATTCCGTATCGGATCCGGCGTCCTCGCTGCCCGGTCCTTCTGGGGCGGCAGCCGCCGTCGGCTCCGGTGGCAGTGTCCCCTTCCCCGTGTGAACTGGTAGTGGTCCCTCCTCGGCTAACTGACCACCCACCGGCCGGCGGGTCCTCCCGGGTAGTGTCAGTTGACGGACTCGGTGGTAGCGTCACCTCCTGGTCTTGGGTTGGTGGCGGTCCCCCTTTTGGCAGGTTCTGCGCTACGCGCCTCCACCAGTCCACTTTGGCGTCGCCCAGATACGGCTTAAGCCGGTTGGAATGAACCACCTTGGCTTTGGCTCGAGGGGATTTTTGCACGCGGAACGTGACATCATCGATCTTCTGTGTCACCACGAAGGGCCCGTCCCACCAGCACTGCAACTTGGGCGTGCGACCCACTTTCTTGGAGGGGGTATACAACCACACAGGATGGCCAGGCTTATAGCTGGCACTTTCTGCTCGACGATCGTAATGTTGCTTTTGATATGTCTGACTCTTCCGCAGATGATGACGGGCAAACTCGTGGGCGCGCTCTATCTTTGTCCTCAACCCCTCCACATATTCGTGCTCTGCTGCGCCATCATCACGTACGGTAGGTGTTTGTCCCAATCGACCCGGTTCTCATGAACAAACAGGCTCAGCATCGTTTTGACTGTGCGGTTGAACCGCTCCACCATCCCGTCGGACTGGGGGTGGAACGGCATGGTGCGGGTCTTTTGGACGCCGAGCAGCTTACAGGTGCCCTGGAAGAGCTCGGCTTCGAACTCCCTCCCTTGATCCGTGTGGATCTCGAGGGGAGCTCCAAACCGGGTGATGACCTGTTCGACGAGGACTCTGGCGACAGTCTGAGCAGTCTGGTCCGGGATCGGAAACGCCTCCACCTACTTCATAAAGTAGTCGCCACCACCATGATGCTAGAATTCCCTGTCCTCGTCCTCGGAAATCGACCCGTGAGCTCGATTGCGAGGCGCTCCATCGGAGCCCCTACCAGGTACTGTTGTGGGGCCTTGAGGGTTCGAGGAGGTGACTTCTTTGACCCGCAATTGTGGCACTTTTGACACCACTCTTCTGCCTGGCGTTGCATCCCCCTCCAGAACACCGGAGCCTGTCTCAGCCGTGCGACGTTCCGGGTAATCCCCGAATGTCCTGAAGTCCTATTGTCATGCGCGAGTCGCAAGACGTCGTCGACTTTCACCCGTGGTACCACGACCTTCCATACCGGCGGTTCGCCATTGGGCTGCTCCCACTTCACCTGCAATATGCCCTGGGACAGCCGCAGCGTCTCCCACTTAGCCCACCAGTACTTCGGGCCTTCACCCAGCGCCGAGACGTCCCGCCAGCTGGGTTTGGGGACCCTGTCTTCCAGCCACTGCACGATCTTGTCCAGCTCTGGGTCACTATGTTGTTCCTGTTTGAGTTCTTCCTGGTCCCATGCTTCCAGGAGCCCTTCCGTGGTGGTGGCTTCTTCCTGCCCAGCCCCCGTAATGGCTCCCACCTGCACCTCCCCTGGTTGCGTCTTCCCAGCATCGTGCGACTGGCTCAGCTGCAAGTCAGCGTCCCGCTGAGCAAGGGGGCTTTCTTTAGTAAAGCATTCTTGACTTGCTTCTTTTGATCGCCCACACTGGCCAGACAGGATTCTACACTGGCCACACGGGATTCTAGAGACGGCGTCGGCGTTCGTGTGCTTCCTACCCGCCCGATGTTCCACATCGAACTCGTAGCACCCCAGCCTCTGAATCCACCTGGCCGTCTGCCCCTCAGGTTCGCAAAAGTTGAACAGCCATCGCAGCGATCCGTGATCCGTTCGGAGCAGGAACCGTTTACCAAGAAGGTAGTGTTTGAAATAGTGAACGAAATGGACCATGGCCAGCAACTCTCTCCGAGTGGTACAGTAGTTGCGTTCGGCCTTAGACAGGGTACGGCTGCCATAGGCGACCACTCGTTCACCATCGTCCCCCTCCTGCGACAGCACTGCTCCGATGGTGCAGTAGCTGGCATCTGTGTCCAGGACGTAGCGGCGCTCCGTATTCGGGTAGCACAACACGGGTGCGGTGGTCAATGCGTCCTTGAGGTGCTCCAATGCTGACTGGCAAGCACTCGACCAGGAGAACGCCCTTTGGCTCTTGGTGGTAAGGGCATGGAGGGGGCGAGCAATCTCGGCGAAGTTCGCAATGAAGCGCCTGTAGTAGGACGCGAGGCCTAGGAAACTCCGTACTTGAGTCAGGTTTGCTGGTTGCGGCCAGTTCCTGATGGCTGCGACCTTTTCCGGATCCGTCCTTACTCCCTCGGCCGACACGAGGTGACCCAAGAAGGACACCTCCGTCTTGAAGAGATCGCATTTCTTCGGTTTGAGCTTCAGGCCGGTGGCTCGGAATCGCTCCAGGACCGTGGTCAGCCGCTTGTGGTGTTCCTCGGAGTCTGGCCCCACACGATCACGTCATCCAGGTAGACTACCGCCACCTGCCACTGCAACCCCCTCAACACAGGGCATAACGGTGAACTGGTACCTTGCCAGTAGCCACTGGCCAGATCAAGGGTGCTGAACCACTTTGCCCCGCTCAAAGTGTCAAGGTTGTCCTCGATTCTGGGGATGGGGTAGGCGTCCTTCATCGTCACCTCATTGACTTTCCGGTAGTCAACGCAGAACCGGACAGACCCATCCTTCTTCCGGACCAGCACCACCGGGGATGACCAAGGGCTGTGGGAGGGCTCGACCACGCCATCATGCAGCATCTGTTTTACCTGCCGGTCACCTTCTTGCCGTTTATGTATCGGCAATCTCCTCGGCGGTTGACGTATAGGCGTTGCTGTCCCTGTATTTATTGTGTGTCGGGTCAGTTCGGTCTGACCAAGTTTGCCGTCCGGGCCAGTGAATGCTCCAACGAATTCCGTCAGCAATTCAGCCAGTCGGGAACGTTCAACAAGGTCAAGGTTCACGGCTCCTCGCTCCAGGAGGTCTTGCAGATGGGGCGGTACCTCTCTCTGGGCATCCGTCCTCTGTCCGGTGTCACCCAAAGGGAGGTGGTTGACGGCAGATCCTTGTTGCCCGTCCTCCAGCTCGATCACATCCAGACCCTCCATCGGTGAGAAGAGAGCCAAGCGGCTGCCTTTGTAGACCGTTACAGGGTCGGTCGTCGGGTTGAAAACCCGAACCGGCACGGTTCCATTGTTTGTGTCAACCAGGCGGGTAGCGACCGCCAACCGGCAATTGTCCGTAGCCTCCAAGCTGGGGTAAACCATCCCGACTCCCATCCGTGGTTCAGTCTTTATCTACCCCGTGAGGATCGCCTCGTGACCAGCTGGGATTATCATGTTCTCCGTCACCTGCACTCTCGCCACCATGGGTTTGTGCGTAAGGTATGAGATCCGGAATGGGACCGTTCGAGTACCGAGCGAGCTCGGCCCGCCCAGTAAGCTGCCGCCCGCTTCGAACACTGTACCCGCCCGGTTACTCAAGCGTGACGCTCGGTTGCCTGCTGGAGTGGCCCTCTGGGTCACAACAATAGCTGTAATCAACGGATTAGTGGTTATTGTTCGAGGATTACAGCGCCCAACTCAGGTTGGGTTGGTGTGGAATTTTATTCTTTTCTATCTTCATAGAATGCAAGTATTTTATGTTTGCATGAAATCATTTGACAAATAAACTTGATAAAACTGCCTAGTTTGCAAAGTTCTATATATGAACAATGGTTAAAAGCTAGATGATCAACGTGTGATTTTTTTTCTTTGAACTTTTCGAAATACGATGTTCGATATCTATATTCTCGGAATTGATCAAATGTACGAAATACCTCATTCTGTATTAATTGAAATAAAGTATTCCCCATATGACGAACATGAATTGTTTTGCGTGTGGTAATGATGTGATGTTGTTGAATTTTAGACTACAACACCGCACTTGCCCCTTATTCACGTTAATGCATACGCATTTTAAACAGAAAAGTCTGATACCCGTTTGAGAATAGAAGCTGGCGGGCTTGACCCCCGATCGGTATGAAGTGGCCCACTCGGTAGCCCCGATCGGTATGAATACTGGGCACTCTTTTATTCAAGCGTGACGCTCGAGAAGCAGGTGGGAGTGACCCACTCTGTAGCTCCCGATCGGTATGAACGCTCGGTTATTCAAGCGTGAGCTTGGTTGACTGGAGTGGCTCTCTTGGTCGCTATCAACGGATTAGTGGTTATTGTTCGAGGATTACAGCGCCAAACTCAGGTTTGGGTTGGTGTGGAAGACACTGGCAATCATTATATTTTTTGTGGAATTGTATTCTTTTCTAGCTTCATAGAATGCAAGTGTTTTGTTTTTGCATGAAATCATTTGACAAATGAACTTGATACAACTGCCTAGTTTGCAAGGTCTGTATATGAACAATGGTGTGATTTTTTTTTTCTGTGAATTTTTCGAAATACGATGTTCCATATCTATATTCTCGGAATTGATCAAATGTACGAAATACCTCATTCTGTATTAATTGAAATAAAGTATTCCCCATATGACGAACATGAATTGTTTTGCGTGTGGTAATGATGTGATGTTGTTGAATTTTAGACTACGACACCGCACTTGCCCCTTATTCACGTTAATTCATACGCATTTTAAACAGAAAAGTCTGATACCCGTTTGAGAATAGAAGCGGGCGGGCTTGACCCCCGATCGGTATGAAGTGGCCCACTCGGTAGCCCCGATCGGTATGCATACTGGGCACTTTTTTATTCAAGCGTGACGCTCGAGAAGCGGGTGGGAATAACCCACTCTGTAGCTCCCGATCGGTATGAACGCTCGGTTATTCAAGCGTGAGCCTGGTTGACTGGAGTGGCTCTCTTGGTCGCTATCAACGGATTAG